GATAGGGAACGATCATACTCATTTGGTTTTCTCGTTTCTTAGTCTTTCCTGCCTGAACTTTGCGTAGTTCTCTACCACAACCCCGCCTCAGGGCCTGTCTGGTGAAGTGTTAGTGCGAGCTGCATGGCTGTCATTTCCCTCCAAGGACCATGAGTTTGACCTGTTGTTCAGTCTGGCACACATGAGAGCACGCACGTCCGTCCACACGTCGCGACGACACACACACACACACACACACACACACACACACACACACACACACACACACACACACACACACACACACACACACACACACACACACACACACACTGTCGTCGACGTACTGCAGTTGAAAATGAACTTAATCCTCCACGTGTTTTGAGTTAACCTAGAGGAGAGGAGATTTAAACTGTGGAGAGACAAGAAACTAAAGTTTAGTTTTTGAGTGTGTGCAGTCTGCATTGTCAATGATTTATATGATTCTGTTGTTAACATAAACACAGACCAGATTGTCTACCTTTATAACTGTCTATTCCCGGTCATTTTAAACATGATGTGGCCTTTGATGTAAAGATGCATCTTATCCCTGTCTGTTTTTTCTCTCTGCCTTGTCTCATTAACTGTCCTCCTCTTTCTCCTGTCACATGTGTTTTACACGTTCTCTCTTTTTGTTTGCTTTTTCTCCACACTCTTGCCCAGCTGTCTGTTGGTTTGAGGTTTTCTGTCCAAAGGCTGGATGATGCCGGACCCAAGATCAGATTCGAGCTACAGATCCACAGGTGACACGCCCCCCAACTCTCACGCATACCCCCCAACCTCCCACACACAAACACACACAACACACACAAAGAGCTGTTTGTCCTTCTTCTGAGCCATGTAAATAAGTTCTGTGTCTGTCGTGATCTCGTCGCTGTGGTTTGATGAAACTAACCGCAGCGACTGAAGAAGACGGATGGCCCGGAGGAACTCCTGGGAGGAGACAAGCCCTACACAACATATTCACTGTTTGTTTCACTGAATTGATTTTGATACATCACTAGGCACAGATGGTTAAATGTTGGCCGAACCCGCTGCCAGGGAAATGCTTATTGGAGTCAGCTGAACATAAAAATACAGCTTTATTATGAGCTTTTACTTTGCATTGTAACACAGCCTGTTGTTACATTTTAGCAAATAAATACAGAATGAAGGGCATAGTCGTTGAAATGTATATTTTATTGGATCCATTTGATTTCATCTAAACTCCCTTTAAATCTCTCCACAGTTCCAACAAAGACAACTCCAACAGCAACCCAGTCAGTTTAAATCTGTCCATCGCTGCCAGAGCTCGACTTGATTTACGCGGGTGAGTCAAGCGTCTTTGTGTGTGAGAGCGTGTCGTCTTCTCGGAAACACAGTGACAGCTTCCTTTGTTGCTGCGTCTGTTTCACAAAAGATACACTTGATCTGCTTTGGGTCTAAACTTTTTGGTGTCTGAAGGATATTACTCTCCTATTATAGTGTTGAAATGTGTGAGGCATGTTTATTTACCGATGGAGAACAGCATGAAAAAAACATCAACCAAATAAATGTGACCTAATCATGTGCACATGGGTTACTTTTAAGCCTTTGACATGTTCATGGATGCCCATATGCCCACTGACACACACACGCACACACTTCAAAGCCTGGAGCCCTGCATGGCTTTGTTTGGGTGTGGTCAGCTGTTCATACAAACAGAGGAGAATGGGATGAGAGAGACGAGGACATATGAGTTCCTGTGTTTGTAAAGTTAAAGTGTCATACCTAAGCTGGCTTCATCTAGCATTTGGACAGGGTGATTTGGTCCATCATGCTGTGTGCTAAACCAGGTCATTTGCTGCCCATTTACCTTATACAAGTATGCTACCATACAGACGTAAACAATTTTGCCAACTTTCAGTATGCAAATCGAGCAGAATCAGCTTTGCACCAGTTACATTTCAAAACCAGGTGTAAACCAGTTAGTTTTTTTGTCGACAGTCTCTTAACCCTCTGAGACCCACATAGGACATTTCCGTTTTTGTATATATTTGCCTTATAAATTGTAATTTCTTTGCAGTATAATCAAGTTGTACACATCCCAGAAATCAGCACAACCTCAGCTAATGATATATGTCACTCATTAGAGACTTATATACACTATAATTGGGGATATTTGCCCATAAATAAAAAACGGAGCTTGAATCGTTTACTTATTTCATTAAAAGGAACTGCTAACCATAACATTGAAAGAAACATTCAACACAGACAATTGCACACATTTATTATCATTGTATCGGAACTGATTAGTAAGTTCAAGGCTTGTTCTGTTCATTAGTTATGCCCAATTCTTTGTGTAAACTTGAGCAATAATACATCATATATTTTAGCATTCAGGTGAGTTTAAGTGATGGTACTGTCTTGCAATATGTTAGGAATATCATAATAAAAGTAAATATAAAAGCCCACAAAGTGTATTATCTTCCAGACATGAAATACCAGCCCTCCAATATAATCAACTTTAGATGTTGTTCTTCTGGAAAAGGCTCAGAATTGTATCTTGTGCCATACTCACGGCCCCATATTAACCTATCAGTGTGGTCGCATCGGTGTCACGAGTTGTTGTTTCTCCTCTCTTCAGGGATGTCTCATCCCTCGCAGGTGTGCTGCCATTCCCACGGCTGGGCCCAAAGAGAGCCTGTCAAATGAGACGACGTGGGACCGCAAGGTCACACACACTCTATGAGGTTAAATGCATCCATACATCCCACCACAGCTGAGTCTCATGAGAAGAGGAGGTGGAGGGGTCTCCAGAGAGAAGAGTGTAGGCTGGATTGCTTTGTATTAACCACAAAGCAGGTCACATTTGTAAGATTGGTGGATGAATAAGAGCGGAAGAATAGTGTCTAAGGTTGTAAATTAGGGCTAAAGCAAGACGAGGGCTCTTTAGAATGAGATGAGTAAACAGACAACAACCATCACATCACCACACACCACACCACACACACACACCACACACATCACACACACATCAACACACACACACACACAACGTACACAACACACTCACAACACACACACACACACACACACACAACACACACACACCACACAACACACACAACTCAGTAATTAAACACCTGCTCCATAAGAATTAGGCTCTGGCTGATCAAAGTCTCCAGCTCAGTAAGTAAATTACTGCTGTGAAGCGCGTGCTGTTAAAAACAGAGTAATTGGGGGTAGGAACAAAAAGGGCATAGGAGGAGCTCAAAAGGGAAATGGACGAAGGGAAAAAGTAATTATTCTTAATAATAGTGGACAAAGGTTAATGAGTATTATATTCACTGAGAAGGGAAAGAACAAGGTCATATCAGAAGGTGTACATTTAGATATAAGAGGGAAGATAGCAGACAGGTTGGCGACAGATTCAATCAGGGGTTTGTGTGTGTTGTGTGTGGTGTGTGTGTGTGGTGGTGTGTGAATGTGTGTGTGGTGTGTGTGTGTGTGTGTGTTGGAATTGTTTTATCTCTAGGTACGTCAATAGTGTTGTGTGTGTGTGTGTGTGTAGTTTGTGTGTGTAGTGTGTGTGTTGTGTGGTGTGTGTGTTGGTGTGTGTGTGTGTGTGTGTGTGTGTGGTGGTGTGGTTGTGTGTGTGTGAGTGTGTTTTTGCCGGTTATCTACCATGTGATTTTCTTATTATATT